GCGATCAAGGTTCAATACATTTCTGGATTATTTGTCTTTTGTCCCATATTCCATCCCGTTACTTATATCATCATAACTTAATGGATATATCTGGATGTTTCATTCTTGTGTGCACTTGAGAAAATAAGAATAATTATAGAAATATAGTAAATATATAGATAATAGTGAACACAAGCTGTCCTTCCAGAACTGTTTGGCTCCATCACTAGTTTTCACATGCGTGTATTTTTATTACTTATTTGTTTTTTCTATTATTTATTTTAGAAAGGAGAAACAATACATATTAATGAACATTTTCACAAATGTAAATATGAGATTATAGCCTTAGGCTAATTTCCATCTGCAGACCCCCTGGCAGGTTGGTGTTACAACACAAGTTAGTAAAAACATACAGACACTATTTACAGACTATATACAGAGAGACAGGGACAAGAACAGTTATCGCAGGATGTTAGAACAAGCAACAAGAGTGGACAACAAAGCAGCTTGTAGAAAGCAGTAACGGAAACACATACAGTAATCTGTATTGCACAAACCCAAGAGTTGGGTTAGTGCTTTTTAACTCTGTCCCATCTTTAGATGATCTTTTCAGACAGAAAAGTGAAAAAGAGAGTACCACCCTCATATAGACAATCAGCTCTCAGTATGTAAAAACCTATTTCTCTCTATTTTTATGTATTTGTATCTCTGGCCACTTACTGTCTAAAGCCTCATAGTGGCAAGCTACTGACAACCATTTAGAGTAGTCTCTCAGCACCATGTCATATGCATTTATTTATCTTAAAAATATATTTTTATCTTAAAAAATATGTTTTTATGTTACTTGCACCATGGAGTGGGAACTTTTGGTGGTGTTTATTCTTGAAAGTTTGGGTATCGGCGCTTGGCTCATTATTAGGCAGTGGGTGGAGTAAGGCGACATGGATGAACTGTAATTGATAATGTAAAGGCAGATGGGGGTCTCCAGGGAAACGGAAAGAATCCAAGCAGATGGCCAAATTGCTGCTTATTTATGTGGAGCAGAGGACTTAGCCCCTCGTCCACATGGTATGATGGATCATTATAGCTCCCTGTGCATAAACACCAATATGCTTTTAAATCTGGTGAGCCATGCTGGAGAAAGCCAACAAGAACAAGTGCCATAATTCAAAGGTGCTGACAGGAGCGTTGTGGGTAAAATGGGTGGGGATATGGTAAACACGCTATGCAACAACCACTGTAATCAAATACCTCTCTTTCTTACTGCTACAAAAGCAGTAGAGGAAAGTTTGCCAAGTGTAAAGCTCTAAAGTGTTCCGCAAGGACTGAATGCTAATATAATACCTGATTTCTAAGCCAAGGAACTGACAATAGAATAAGACATCTTTAAGTGAGAGAGACAAAGCACAAATAGCTCTAAACTTATCCACAGAACAGTACAAAATATGTCTGCACAACAATAATGAAGCTAAAGCAAAGGTGTAGACAGGAAGACTACGTGTGCACAATCTCACTGCCCTGTTTACACAGAGACGCAGCGTCTTTTGAAAGTCCTATGTAGCTATGAAACAGTTGTTTTTTTCTGCTTTATATATGTTTTGTGCTTTATAGATGTTGCTGCAGTACAGTGTTCATGGTTTTGCACTGGTCCAGACCAGAGCGGAGAGGATTGTCCGAACCAAGCAGATCAGGAAAAAAATACACTGGGGGAATGCAAACTTTTTGAAAAATGCTAACAATGCATTCAGCATTTTACTTTCAACAAGAGCAGAGAAAATGGTCCCCGTGTAGCAAAGTAAATTTTAGTGACCTCTCTCAAAACTTTACAGTGTATTTTTTTAATTTGTTTATGTAAGTGTTATGTGAATTACACAGTTATTATTGTATTTTTATTACAAGTTTTATTATTTTTATAATTGTTTTTGTCCTGGTCTTTGATTCGTTGTGCAGCTTTGGTTCTCCAGCCACTCCCGTGTTTATATTTCTTCTTCGTGTGTTCCCTGTTCCCCCACTATAAATTCGGGGTTTTCCCGCTGCCTCTTCCCTTTGAAAACCCGTGTCAGGGAAGAGGTCAGTTACTTTATGTTTTTTATGTCTCAAAATGTCCATTTTAATTGTAATTTTGTTGTCATTTACGTTTTGTATGTCTTTTTAGTTTGGGCTGTGAGTGATGCAGAGGCACATGTTCATTGTTTTTGTTTTTTATTGACCAGGTATGTATATTCCCCTTTGAAAACCCGTGTCAGGGAAGAGTTTGGGCTGTGAGTGATGCAGAGGCACATGTTCATTGTTTTTGTTTTTTATTGACCAGATAAAAGAACGCCTCCTAAGCTCGTCTCCCGTGTGTTCCTCCGCACCACACAATCAAGTAAACACAACGCAGAGCGGAGAAAATCAGACCCGTTACACTGGTGCCGTGACCCGGATCGCTTGATCAGCCACTGCCGATCGCCGAGGTGCTGCCGTGTGCTTGTTCGCCCGGAGTTCTGTCTGACTCGCCTTCAAGTGGATCCAGCAAGTCATCCGTCAGCGCTAGAGACCGGTGTGTGCGCGGCCCTCGCTGACCGCCATCTTGGAAAAACTAAAGCAAGAGTGCGCTGCCCGCGGGAACCGCCATCTTGGAAAAACCGAAGCTTGAGTGTGCTTTGCATATAAGCAGTGGTATTTAATTACAGTCATAAAAGAAAGAGTTATGTTTTGCCACTTGCACATCTTATGAAAGGTTTTGGCTAAATTCATATTTTGAATATGGCACAAAAACGTGATGAAGCTTTTGATTTGTTTACACCTGTTGGGAGGGGTAGAGGGCTATTGACATTTGTGAATGAAACCCCTGGGTCCATCCCTCAAAGACTTTTCGAGTCAAACACTGTTGGTCATAGGCCTATGCCACAGTACTCTACACCCACTGTTGCCAGTGAAAACACAACAGATCAGTTACGTGAACTTATTGGTGAATTGTCTAGTCCTGTGTCTCCCAAAGTGGGGTCCGCGGCCCCCTGGTGGGCCGCGAGGGTACTGCAGGGGGGCCGCGGGAGGTCATAAAAAAAATAAAAAAATAATATAATTATTTAATGTTAAATTTATAATGTTTTGTTTTTAATATTAAAATATTTGTGTTCATTATTTGACTTGAATAATCCACTGTAATCATTTTTGTATTACAATGTTTGTAGCAGAGGCTATTTCCCCAAAATAAAATAACCAGAAGAGCCTATTCTTAATGTTGTCTTCTTGGTTATTATTTTGGGGGGCCACGCAGACCCGTCAGATTTTTAAGGGGGCCTCGGTGTTACTGAGTTTGGGAATGGCTGGTCTAGTCAGATAGGGGAGTCTATAGCTGGTCGTATACTATCAAGCCAGCAGCACCTTAGCCCACAGCCCCCTTGTGCTAATTCACCCAGAGCTGACACACTTAATATGACCACTGACCTGTCCAAAGTCAGTTTAATTGTCAGACCGGACATTAAAGAGCCACCCATGTATCGTGGTGATGGTGCAGACAAGTATTCAATTCATGAGTGGATTGAAACAGTTGAAGTGTATTTGCGCAAGAAAGACCTCTCACCCAGTGAACAAGCAAATGAGGTGCTAAACCATCTCCTTGGCAGGGCAAGGAGTATTGTCAGAGTGGGGCTTAAGAGTAGCTCAAGTAGCATCCAAATCAGTCCAGAGACAATATACAGTATTCTGAGGCGCTATTTTAGTGAGACCCCTGGTTCATGTCTGCCATTAGCTGATTTCTACGCTACACAGCCATTAGTCAAAGAAACACCCGTAGACATTTGGGTCCGGTTAAACACAGCCGCGGAGGTAGCGGACAGGCATTTAAAGCGCCAAGGTGGTAAAATGGACAATATGGACTCAGAAATAGCCATGATGTTTATCCGAAACTGCCCTGACACCAACCTTGCCTGTGTTTTCAAGTGTAAACCGATCAGTAAGTGGTCACTCACTGAGGTGCAGGAAGCTATTGATGAGCACCAGAGAGAGCACCAAACTAAGAGGTTAGCTGCACCTCTAGCCAAACCGCAGGCTCTCCGTGTAGCCACTGCTGTAGCAGACATCGATCCCTCAGAGTGTAACACAGAGTATGCCAATGTAAACATCACTAAGGTCACTAGTCCACCCAAGTCGAATGAACAATCTGTCCCAGGATCAGATGCATTGGAGAGAGTGCTAAGAATGTTAGAGAAAGTGTTGGAGTGTAGCAGTCATCCTGTGCCCTCAGCACCACCCTCACCATTTGGGCACCAGTCTCCATGCCGTGTCTGTAAACAGACCTCTCATTCGACACGCACGCATTGTATGAGAGAGAGAAGGTGTTTGGGCTGTCTAGAGGTTGGGCACCACAAAAAAGACTGCACTGAGCCCCCCACAGTCCAGGGCGGCACCCCAGCTCCACTGTTTCAGGGAAACTAATGCATTCACATGCGGGAGGGGACAATGTGAGTGATCGAATGGAAACCCTCGAACATGATAATGAGGCCCAGTCTGTTTACTTTGAGTGTGTTAAAGCCTCCCCCTCGGACACTGTTCTCTTCCAGAATATAACGAGGCTCGACAAAGCCGACAGTTTATTTTATGTCAATGCACAGATGGAGGACATTATCTCACTTAAAGCTCTACTGGATACTGGCTCCATGGCTTGTACGATCAGTGAGGAGGCAGAGCAAATGTTAAAGAGTGCTGGGGCTGTGATTACACCCAATGACACCTGCCCTGATGTAGTGCTGGTAGGTTGTGGTGGAGTTAAGGTAAAGCCGAAGTGTGTTTATGATTTAAAAGTGCGAGTGTATGATTGTACATTTAGACCACACACAGGAATGTACCACATTCCTGATGTTATTGGAACCGCCAAGCTGACAAAAGCTTTAACTCTCCAGCCCAGACAAGAGCACCTCATTTGGAGCAGGTTGCCCTCTAATTCTGCTCTCTCTGAAGGTAGCGCTGTGCTGGTTGAGCCATCGAAGTGCCTAACCCACAAAAATGACATCATTGTGTGCAGGTCAGTGTCTAACATGCATGGTGACAGGTGGATCCCAATCCGAGTGCTTAACACCTCCAGTAAACCTATCACTCTGAGGCGCAATACAAAGATGGCAGAAGTGTCTGCTTGCATTGCTGTTGAGGACTTGGATGAGGACACAGAGGCCGTTGAGACCGTGGGAGTGAATAACCAAGCCGTGTCTTGTGAGCACTTTGGCCTCCAAGAAACCTTGACTATGCTTGGGCTTGAAAATCTTGATATCGACTCTTGTGAGGTGTCACCCTATTGGAAAGGTCAACTCATGGAGCTTGTTCGGAAGTATGAGGATGTCTTTTCTAAGAGCAAACTGGACTGTGGATCAGCTAAAGACATTGTCCACAGAATCCATCTGTCCGATACTCGGCCATTCAGGCTCCCGTACCGCAGAGTCCCACCTGGGCAGTACCACAAACTCAGAGAGGTCCTTTCCGAGATGGAGGAGCTAGAGATAATTCGCAAATCGAAAAGTGAGTGGGCATCTCCGCTGGTTCTTGTGTGGAAAAAAGAGTGGAGACTTGAGAATCTGTGTGGATTATCGCTGGCTCAATGCGCGTACGGTCAAAGACGCTCATCCGTTGCCACACCAAGCAGACTGTCTGGCAGCCCTTGGAGGAAGTGCTATCTTCAGTGCGATGGATCTTACTTCTGGCTTCTATAACATCGCCATGGCCAAAGAAGATAAGAAGCTCACTGCTTTTACCACTCCCATGGGCCTATATGAGTTTAATAGGCTCCCACAAGGCCTATGTAACAGTCCTGCCAGTTTCATGCGGCTCATGATGAGTATCTTTGGGGACCAGAACTTCATGACCCTCCTTTGCTATCTTGATGATGTCCTTGTTTATGCACCTGACGAGGCAGAAGCGCTAAGAAGGCTGGAAATGGTCTTTAGCCGGCTGAGAGTTCATGGATTGAAGCTTGCTCCCAAAAAATGCCAACTTCTTAGGAGAAGTGTTAAGTTCCTTGGGCACGTTGTGGACAGACATGGTGTCGCCACCGACCCCGAAAAGGTCAAGGCCATCAGTTCTATGGCTGAGACAGATCTCATGATGGAGGATGGAATAACACCCTCACAGAAGAAAATAAAATCATTCTTGGGCATGGCAATGTACTATCAGCAGTTCATTCAAGATTGTTCCAGGTTAGTTAAGCCCCTTTTCGCCCTGACTGCTGCCCCCAAAGGGAGGAAAGGGAACGCACGTGGTGCCGCTGCGTTCAAGAAGTTGCACCCCAGTGATTGGAAGCAGGAACATAAAGACGCATTTGAACAGTTGAAAGTTGCCCTCTTGGAGTCCGTGGTCTTGGCGCACCCAGATTTCAACCGCCCATTCATTTTGTCTACAGACGCCTCAATTGATGGGCTGGGCGCTGTGTTGTCCCAAGTTCAGGACGGAGAGACAAAAGCGCGGCCTGTGGCATTTGCCAGCAAATCTCTTACTCGTGCACAGAGCAAATACCCGGCCCACCGCGTAGAGTTTTTGGCGTTGAAGTGGTCAGTCTGTGATAAATTTAGCCACTGGCTCAAAGGAAACACATTCACTGTCTGGACGGATAATAATCCCCTGACCTATATCCTCACGAAACCCAAACTTGATGCGTGTGAACAAAGGAGGGTGGCGAAGTTGGCTCCATACAATTTCAACATCAAATACATCTCAGGCAGTAAGAACATTGTCGCTGATGCCCTAAGCCGCCAACCTTTCATCAAAGGTCTTGTTTCCCAGAGACTGGTAGCAGAGCCCTATGAGTGTTTGTTACGTGAGTCAGAGCAGCTCAGAGTAGAGCCCTGTACTTGAGCCCTTGGCCCGAGGGCCCCGACGGCCCGACAGCCCGAGGGCCGGGCTTCGGGCCGATGACCGCATAATGACCTCGGACACGGGCCGGGCTCGGACTCTTCATTTTCAGAGCGGCAGAATACATTTACGAACGCACCCACTGAATATAGCGTTCTATCACGCTGTAGTGTTTCTTGTTCTGTGTAGTGTTGTCATTGACGGCACATAGCGTTACTTATGTAATGTGCAGATGTGTTGCAGCATCGGGGGCATCATACAGATGCGGCCGTTCACTCTGCACCACTCCGCACACACAGAACTCATTGCAACACATCACTACCATGTATAACTCCGCCCTCTAGCTAAGTCTGCGTTCATATCAGTGCGCGGCACTATATACTACGCTAAAACATTGTTATGGGAGGTTACAAAAAAAAAAAAAAGGCGGGCTTGATGCGGGTTTCGGGCCTGAAAATTCAGAAACCATATCGGGCCGGGCCGGGCTGGGGCGCCACCCCCTCGGGCCAGGGCCGGGCTGGGGCGCCACCCCCTCGGGCCAGGGCCGGGCTTGGGCCCAGATAATAGGCCCGTGCAGGGCTCTAGTAGACACAGTTCAAGAAGTGTTTAGAGCTAGTGCAGACTACCAAGAGGTAAACTGTCTCCAGATTACCCAGTCATTATCTAGTGAAGAAGTGTCAGCAGTCCTTTCAAGTCAGCTAGCAGAGGAACAGAGTGCAGAGCAGAGAGTGGTTTCTTGGCTAGCCCAGGACATAGACGACCTTGTCCCCCCAGGTCAAGTCACCTTGCCTGTGTTCTCTGTTCAGGAGCTCCAAGATGCGCAGCTCAATGACACCACTATCGCACAAGTTGTCCCGTTTGTAGCGCGTGGCAGGCGGCCATCAAGGAGAGAAAGGTCTGTGTTGTCTCCAAGAGCTCTGAAACTCCTGAAGCAGTGGGAGAAGCTAAAAATGCTTGATAACATTTTGTACAGGGTATGTAAGGACTTAACTACAGGCAAAAGGCGGCATCAGTACATAACCCCCATGTCTCTTGTTGGCCAAGTTCTACGTGGTGTACACGACGATGCTGGACATCAAGGCCAGAGCCGGACATTACACCTGGCCAAGCAACGCTTTTTCTGGCTTAGTATGGAGCAGAGTGTCCGGGAGTATGTTAAGTGCTGCAAACGCTGCGTAGTGAGTAAGACTCCTGAGCCAGAGGGAAGAGCCCCTCTTGAAAGCATCAAAACAACGAGCCCCCTGGAATTGGTGTGTATTGACTTCTGGTCAGCTGAGGATGCAAAAGGTCGGAGTGTGGATGTATTGGTTGTAACTGACCATTTCACCAAAATGGCCCACGCTTTCCAGTGTCCGGACCGATCCGCAAAACAGGTAGCCCGCCAATTGTGGGACAAATACTTTTGCGTCTACGGTTTCCCCCAGAGAGTCCACGCTGACCAGGGTGCAAACTTTGAGAGCGAGCTCATTCGGGAACTGTTGGAGATCTCTGGAGTGAAAAAGTCAAGGACCACACCCTATCACCCTATGGGTAACGGACAGACCGAAAGGTTCAATAGGACGTTGGGAAATATGATCAGAGCCTTGCCACCCCGTGACAAAAGCAAATGGCCACAAATGCTCCAAACACTGACTTTCGCCTACAACTGTACAGCCCATGAGTCGACTGGCTATGCACCGTTTTATTTGATGTTTGGCCGCATACCTAGACTCCCAGTGGATGTCATGTTCCACAATGCACACAGAGATAACGAGATCACAGACTATGACAGTTATGTAAAGAAAATTAGAGACACTCTGAAAGAAGCCCTCACTGCAGCACAAGCCAAAAGCCAAATTCGGGGTTTTCCCGCTGCCTCTTCCCTTTGAAAACCCGTGTCAGGGAAGAGGTCAGTTACTTTATGTTTTTTATGTCTCAAAATGTCCATTTTAATTGTAATTTTGTTGTCATTTACGTTTTGTATGTCTTTTTAGTTTGGGCTGTGAGTGATGCAAAGGCACATGTTCATTGTTTTTGTTTTTTATTGACCAGGTATGTATATTCCCCTTTGAAAACCCGTGTCAGGGAAGAGTTTGGGCTGTGAGTGATGCAGAGGCACATGTTCATTGCTTTTGTTTTTTATTGACCAGATAAAAGAACGCCTCGTAAGCTCGTCTCCCGTGTGTTCCTCCGCACCACACAATCAAGTAAACACAACGCAGAGCGGAGAAAATCAGACCCGTTACACCCGCACTCACATTTGGACATGCACAGTAGTAGAGAACAAACATAAACAAAAATGGTGGTGAAGAAACACTCACTAGATGTGTCCTTCTGCTTAGAGCTGCAGCTATCAAATATTTTGGTAATTGATTATTCTATCAAATACACCACTCAATTAATAGAGTAAATCGAGAAAAAAAAGCATAATTAAAAATATACAATAGCAAATGAAAACCATTTAATAATGACAACCGTTTTTAAATTGTAGACAGTTTATTGCATTCATATTATCAAAAGATGACAACGCAGCGGCGATTGCACCTGTACCACGGTTGATTTTCGAGTCCTTCCAGATTGAACAGAATCAGATGAGGCGCATGTTTCTGAGCAGCATATTTAAAACGCTATGTGTCAGAACAGCTGCTTGTGCTGGGAGCAGGAACTGGTCCTAAACAGGCTGTGAGGGTTTACTGAAAAACAGGGAAAAGCATAAGTTAATTTTCAATTGCACACCCCTTCTAGATTCAATATGTCCTATATTAGATAAACACTGCTGACCTCACATGTCGTGCATCTCTGCAATAATTATAATATGCAATATAGAACCACATGTCTGACTATATATTCCTGCACTATACAATACTAGACTACAGCATTTTATACTTGTTTTTCTATTAAAAGTTAGAGCTTTTATTTAATTTTAGTAAGTTGTTATTGTTCACATTTCTTGTACCGTGTGCTCCTCATTCCTACTGTTCTGTAACTGCTGATGGATCTTGGTCCACAATGTTCATACAGGCATATTATGTACGGAGTTCAAATAACTGTTGTGGAGTAGTATAATACCCGTTGGCACTAGGATTGTAGTGAATGTCAAATTAAAGGCGCTATACCCTTTTCTGCAATGTTTGAATGTTTAGCACCGCCCCCCAACTCGCTCAATGGCTTCTCATTTCCCCTACGCTCTCATCCCACGGAGCCACCTAGTTTTATTTGCGATCTGATACGTATACAAACATTAGCATTAGCGCAACTTCTTGTAAGCTGTGCAACAATCACTGATGAAATGGCACTAAAGCAACGCACTGCTAACACAATATATAACTAAAGAATACCGCTAGTTTTGCGTCCGAATGTATTAGTTTAAAACATTAGAATATATTCTAATATTTAATTATAATTTGTTATAGAGCTCCTCAAAGCAGCAGCACTCCATTGACTTGAATGCAATTCTTCCGATAATTTTTTCTTGATAACAGAACTCTAATGACCACAGCCCCAATGCAATCTCTGTTTGTAATTCAGGTGTGTAAAATACTGCCATTACTCTGCAAGTACAACAAGCTATCAGCGCCTATCACTACACTGTGCAACTTATCTGCACACTTGTCTGTGTAGAGAAGCTAGCGGAGCTAGCCACGCTCAATAAACAACTACATATCAATCAATCAACACCATTAAACGTCAATCGGACAATACAGTATACATATACATCCTTAACACACATGCACAGATAATTTCAGAATTTGCTGTTAACGTTTTCATGACAAAAATACTGTTTTAATGTGACAAAAAGCGATTGCGAAAAACCCGGAAGTTACCATGAAACAGCTAGCTAGCTTAGCTGTTACCTGCCTAGCACGTCCCGGTGAAACCTTTGGGA